CCCTCTGCTATTGGATATGACGAACCACCTAGGAAGAGCCAGGCTAGGATATGGTCCACAGGAAGGGAGGAGAGAATACATGGGCTCCACTGCCCAAAATAGCTCTTGGTAACCTGAGGAACTGGAGTCAAGGGTTGAGCCAAGGTCACGTGCCTTGTCCAGCACCAGGGTGGAGGTGAAGGAGAGAGAGGTTGCCAGCCTGGTTCTCTGGGCAACGGGAGGAGGAGGAGGAAGGGCTAGAAGAGTTATTTTTAATAGTGTTAGATCAAGAAAGAGGATTTCCCAGTAAAGAGAAAAGGGATGCGATGCATATTTCACTGATACTTCCGTGGCTCAGGTTGATATCCAAGGTGAGAGGAAGACAAAACTGGAGACAAATCCCTCTTGCCACCAGGCCTGGATTCAACTACTGGATTTATTTTTGGGTAACTGTAGGAGGACACCTACCTTTTGAAAGCTTTGGTTTGCATTCCTCTGACAAGTTGCACAACTCATCATGCACACAATGCTGTAGTAATCAGTTGGTAGGTGAAAACTCACAAGTCATGATGTCTGTTTTTTGTTTTCTGGTTTTTATTTTTTGGTACCGGGGATTGAACTCAGGACCTTGCGCTTGCCAGGGAAGTGCTTATTCTACTGAGCTATCTCCCTGGCCCTATGATGTCTGTTTTTGAGGAGTTTCTAACTGAAAAGAAGATGCAGATACACACATGAAACAAAAGATATAAGATAACAGGCCCTTCAATCAAGAGGGTCTTCATGGAAGAGGTATGTTTTGAGTCAGTACTTAAATTATTCTGTTAATGTAGAATGGCAGGGACATGGCAGTAAATTGGTTGTCTCAAGTATAGGGAGTGAACTAGGAAAGTTTTAAGTGGCAGCAATTAGCTAGTCTAATTAGTAAGGGGACAGCGAGTAAATTGGCTTCGCAGGCCTGTTAGACCTTGGGGATTCTGCAGCAGTTAACTCAGTGTTATGAGGTCACAGTTCAGTCTTGTACCTTAGTTAATTTCTTCTACCCAGCCAGTCTTACTCCTCATTCTAAGCAGTTGTTTCACATGCATGAACCCTTAGTCAGAGGAGGTAGGTCCAGAGGTCAGTGAGGTTAACATGAATAAATCTATTCTTCAAGGTCAAATACCCACCTGAAGGTAGCTCAGCTTTTTTTTGGGGGGGGGGGCGGTACTAAGGATTGAACTGCAAGCCTTCACACCAAGCTACATCCTCAGCCCCTTTTCTATTTTTGAGTTTTTTTTTTTTTTTTTTTTGGTACCGGGAATTGAACTCAGGACCTTGCGCTTGCCAGGCAGGTCCCTATGCTGTTGCTCAATCTCCCCAGCCCTATTTTTTATTTTGAAACAGTTAAATAAATTCAAGGGGTTGGTCTCTAATTTGCAGTCCTCCTGCTTCAGCCTCCCAAGCCTGGGATGACAAGTATGCACCTCCAGGACCACCAATATCTTTGGTGTTTTGGATTTTGATTATTTTTTTTTTTTTTTGCGGAAACAGGGATTGAACTCAGGCCCTTGCGCTTGCCAGGGAAGCACTTATTCCACTGAGCCATCTCCCCGGCCCCAGATTAACATCTTTGAACCAGGAAATACTGTACCATGGTAGTGGGAAGGGAGATGGGGGGTCAAGGCCATAATAGGTCTTTTCTGAAATGCTGGAAGATGTTAAGACAGAAAAATTTAGGAAATCATTCTATGGGGTTCCAGGCACCTCTAATAGGTGGAAGAAAGAGGATAACAGTAAAAGAAAGGTGACACTTATTTGATTAACTTGTTTTTGGTCCTGAGGGTCAAATTCAGGGCCTCATACATGCTAAGTGGGTATTCTACAACTTTGTACACACACCCCCGTCCAATAATTATTTAGTTAGTACTTAGTGTTCTGGAGACAGAATAGTTGTTGTGGCTCTCATATGGATTTGGAAAGCCAGGTGCTGTAGCTCAGTGGCGGAGCATATTTCCAGCCTCTGTGGCCCTCAGCTCAATCCCTGTACCAGTGTGTATGTGGGGGGAGGTTGGTGGTCATCCAGCCCTGGGTTCCCTCCTCACCATTTAACTGTGTGGAGTTTCTGTACCCAGTAGATGAGAATCACTTTCTCACAGTGTTAAATGGGCACCAGACAGAATTACATGGATGGTTTCTGCTAACCTGAAATCCAGGTAAGAGGCTGGGGGAGATGGCTCAGTGGAATAAGCGCTTCCCTGGCAAGCGCAAGGGCCTGAGTTCAATCCCTGGTTCCACCAAAGGAAAAAAAAAAAAAAGATGGAGTTAAGACAGGCTCTTGGGTTGGTGAGATGGCTCAGTGGTCTAAAGCACCTACTTAGAACAAGCTAAGCTAAACAAAGCACAGGGACAGTGGTTCAATCCCCCAGCACCACATGCCAGCCAGCCCTGCCCCCTGGTGGGCTTGAACTGGCCACACACAAAATAAATAAAATAATTTTTTTTTTAAATTTTATTTATTTATTTGTGTGTGTGTGTGGCCAGCC